CCCCAAAACCCCAAAACCCCAGCATTTAAAAAATTCCAAAAGAAGTAGAATTCACAGTAAATTAATAATGTAGCAATTCCTCTAATTCTTTCAGTTCGTTCTTTGCCTTTTCTTGAGTTCTTCAATTTTCTACAATCTGCTTTCTCTATCCTAATCGCGCTTTCTTTTTGCTAGTATTTAAAGTTTCTATTACTTTTCTTTATCCATAATTACTTCTGGCAACTAATCTTTCTCCTTTTTTGAAAGAATGTTGTCCCATTATTGCTTAACTAGTGGAGCCATCGATTATCCAAGCATAGCTGTAGCTGAGTCCTTTAACTTTTTGAATTAACCTTAATTAAGTCCTTTATCTACTGCTTCTATCTCATTTCTTGCTTCTTCCTCCCAAGCTTTTCTTTCCCTCGCCATTAAGTCATGATTTCTATTCATTTCTGAGAGATAATCGTGCCTATTTTAATCATCATCCTTTTCATTCCATCTTTTTTACTCAAAGTCTACCAATCCACTTTTTTTATTTTCATGAGATTTTTTTTCATTAATCAGCTACTCGTAAATCTAGGCTTTCTCTGCTAATTTGAATTGTATTTTTCGACTATCTATCTATCCATGATCATCTTCAACTCTATTATTCTCAAATTCTTGCTCATCTTTCAACAATCTTTGCTCAATACCTTTATTCTGATCCTAAAGTTTTTATTATCCTCCTTTGAATAGATCTTTTCTCTTAAGATAAAATTACTGCTTATTTGCATCTATTTTGTTCTCTCTCGACTATGTTAATTTAGCTTTTTCTTCAATGATCTTGGCTTTTAAGTCAATGAGTGAGGAATTCTAAGCAACACTAATTTTCTTAGATTCCTTGGGTATAAATGCGGATTAAGTAGTCCAGCCTAAATTTGACATTTATCACTTTTTATTAATTAAATTATTAACAATGGAATAAGAAAAAGGAGAAGTTAAAATTGATTTGAATCAGTTTACACTCTACTCTTTTATCTCAGCACTAGATAATAAAGTCATGAAAATTCTCGAAACAATCTTCAAAATCAATAGAGAGATCTATGATCCTAATATTTTAGTCAATGCTGTCTTGAATACTTTCGAGCACAATTAAGAGACATATCAAGATATTCTATTAACAGTGCATATGTTGAGACTCTTTGATAGAGTAGTTTAGAATAAAAAGCAAAATTAAAAGTTCATGACATGGAAGGAATTCGTTGATGTTCTCATTTCTGAAACACTGGTTCATGATAATATGGCATTGACTGAATACTTTAAAAACTACTAGAATAGTGGCGAGTCAGAGTAAGATTATACACCTTCTTATATTAAATGCTCAACATAAGAAGGATAATTAATTATTTAGGACTCTCCAAAGAATTAAAGGATTAGATCTTAACCAAAAAAGATCAATGTAAAACTACATAATTGATGGTGAGGACAAAATGATGCTAGAAATGCTCAATGAAAACGGAGAAATACTAATGCCGATAGATAAATGCTTGTCTCACAATGAAAAGACAGTTTTATAAAGATTGACTCAAGTTGATAAACGAACACATAAGGATGGAATTTAAAAGTAACACTTTTCACATTTTATTAGATATCACTGTAGAGTATTATTTGCTGAAAATTTATATGGAGGCTCTATTTTATGCCTTGACTAAATGTGTGATAGGATCCTAATGTACGACAAGCAAATGAAGAAATCTAGAGTATACCTTACCATTGATCACAAAATACACAATTTTGATGCAATTATCCTTGATATGGCCTACTCAGTCAAAGAGTAAATGGTATAATATGATTAAAATTTATGTGAGATTATTTAGCTAGGAGTGGTGATGAGGGATAACTCTATAAGTTTCTGGTCTGCTAACGATGACTTCAAGTATGAGCGAAAGATTGAGTCAGATTTGCCAAACTTTTAATATCAGATTTGGTACTTGAATTCAGTTAGAAAGTGGATAACCACAGATAAAACTAACTAACTGCACTTGTGGACTCCATCTTCAGACTTTCCTTAGTCCCTTGATTTAAATGCCCATAAAGAAAAGATTATTTATCTTAAAGAAGTAATGGAAATAGATGGTTTTATTACTAGCTCCCTAGATAAAACATTTGTGGTTTGGGACTCTAGATTACTGAAGGTTCGGTTTTAAATCCTAGTCAAAAGTTCCTTGCACACAGTAAAGTACTCAAAATGTCACGCTGTAAATTTGCACCTTAATATAGATTTATATATAGATGCTTTTTGGAGCTAGCTATGAGTAAAATATTAGGATATATGAGTTTCCAAATAAATTTGAATGCAACTTGAGCAAGATTCTAATTGGACATCAGACAATGATAACAGCCATTGAATTAATAGATGAAAGAAACATTTTAATATCAATAGATGACTCTGCATGCCTCAAATGCTGGAGTCTAAATGACAACAAATGCGTGCAAACTTATAGATTTGACTACTTTATTGAGGCTTAGGCATTAATTAGTATTAACAATGCCTAGTTTGTTAGTGTGTCAAATAGAATGCATCTTTTTACTATTCTCTCCATTAATTTTCAGAGGAAACTTACTGATTATTAATTTGAAGATCCCTATTATTTAATCCGAGATTTTTTAGGGGCTAATCATGGTAAAAAAGGTATTCATGTTAATAAAGATGAAGTGACTAAGGAAGTCAAATTATAAGATTAGGTCCTCGATGTGATGTTTTCAGTGCTCTTGCAAAAAGTGATAGTAGTGAATAAGAAAGATGTGCGCATTTTCAACATGTAAGATGGTCTCTAAGAGATGTTAATGTCAAAGATAAGCAATAATGATTGTGAGCTGACATTTTGCACCCTTGAGGATAATATACTGGTAATTTCTGATGTTGATGGCAGATTGTACTCTATTGATATATTGAAGCATGAGAGATTCGAGATTTTCCCTAAATGCCAATCATAGATAGTGACAATCAAAATTGATTTAAAGAATCATCAAATCATAGTCTGCGAGGAATATCTAAATAGAATTAGAGTTTTGCAGCTTAAAGATGATTTCCTAGCTGTTGATTAGTCTAAAAAGCAAAAATAGTGTAATATTGTAAGAGAGTTGCTAAACTGCGTTCCTCCAGGGGATGACCTGCTTTAATGTTACATCAGTCTCTATTTAAACACCATCCTAGTAGGAAACAATAATAAATAAAGAGTGGAAGTGTGGAATTATGATGGATTACAGTGAAAGGGTAGATTGAATAGAGGAGTATACCCAAACTAGATTTTGAGTATTGGTGCTTTTGAAAAGTATAATTTGGTATTTATTATGAGTATATCTAACGAGCTTGAAATTTATAACCTTGAAATTACTAATCTAAAAAAAAGATTTACTCATTTCAGATAGCTATATAAGTAATGTTACTATTAACTAAGGTTTTTGTAGATATATTATGGAAGGAATTAATACAAACGCCAAATATCTATCTTCTTACATGAATAAAATTTATTTATCAGATCTAGAGGGATAACTTATTATGTAACTTAAATTTTTTTATATTTCTTAAGATATGAATCCGACATTTTAAAAATTCATGATATTTATCCAGATCAAAGAGAAAATAAGTCACTTAACTTTCAAAAGTAATTAAATTTTTATTAACATTTTAGAAAAGTAAAACTAGATGCAAAATTCATTCACTCTCTCTCAGATGAGGTCCCTGAGTGTAATGAAACAGCAAAACCTTAACTTATGAAACTATGCAAAAAAGAAAAAATTCATACTAATGCTATTATGAAAATCAGACTATTCCATTTTAATGATAGAGATTTTTTACTAACTCTTTGCATAGGAGGCTACATCAAAATATCTTAGCTTTTATAAGACAAACTTAATCTTATGATCACCCTGAAAACAGATAGGCCTCTGCCATTAAAATGGGATATTAATTAAGCTAGTTATAAATCTACTGAAAATGAAATTATGCATGCAATTAAGCTACTGGTAAAGCTAGGATATCGAAAATGGTCAGATATGAGGCACCTAAAAAGCAAAATTTAAGGCTCAGATCCGCCTGTTGTCAATCTGATGCCTGATAAAATCAAAGATTACTTTAAAAAGAGGAGAAACGATGACCAGAGAATAAAATCTCTCAAATATCAGTAGTACTTAGTTGATCAATAAGCTTTTTAGACTTAGTATACAGAAGAATTTCTAAAAACCTTACATTAGAAGCAGGGAATTGATTTTTTAGAAAGGAAAATGGAAAATACTTAAGGAAATATGCTTGAGAAATATCCTTGCTTTAAAGAATATATTGATGCGAGAAAGTAACTTCAGGTGAGTGACATTGACAATTTGAAGTTTAGTATTCTCGGCATCTAATATCCTGGCTAAGAGGGAGAATTAGTATGTAATGAATTTTATGATCTGGCAGATGCAAAATAAGAAGAGAAAAAATCAATGATGATCAGAGCAGTTAAGCCAAATCAAAAAAAATTATCTGCAGAAGTAGCTGAATAACTTGATAATTACCTACTAAATAAGAACTTGAAACAGTAAATAAGAAATCAAATGCTTTAAAATAGAAAAATGACCTTTAAGAAAAAGTCACAAGCTGGAGAATAATTCAACAATATTGGCTAATAGATTAACCAAATTCAAAACTAAGAGAAAGAGCTTGAAGATAAATTGAAAATACTTGATAAAAGCCAGGAAGAATCACTAGAGAATGATGAAAAGATCGATCATTGGCTGCATTATGCTGAAAATAAAGACTCAGAGAAAAGATTTGAGGAAGCTTTTAAACCACAAACTGAAAAGTAATATTCAAAAAAGGATTTCAAAGAGTAACTCTTGACCCTAAAGCAAGAACTTGCCACACATCAGAAACCGATTTAGTTTCTTAATAATCATGAGTTAGACCAGATTAGATTACTTTCAAGAAAAATGATAAGAACTAAATCTCAATTAATATCTCCAATAAAAAATTCAGCCAAAACATCTCCCTTAAAAACTAAAATTTTAGATGCTATCACTAAAAATAGCTAAATAATTGATTAAGTAACAACAGACATTAGAGCACTAGAAATTGTGAAGTCTGTATCCCACAGAAAGTAAAATTCATAATAACTTAAAATACCTTCAATTAATAATAAACTTGAAAGCTTAAGTTCCAACAATTTGTTTTCACCTTAATCATTCTCTCAATAAAGGCTAATGACTTCATAGTAAAATTCATCTGCAATTCATTCTACTCAACAAAATACTTACAAATAAACATTGTTTAAAGAAAGTTTCCTTACTTAGAAATAGAGAGAGTAAAATATTGATTTAAAGAAATTAATTTAAGCTAAAACACTCACAAAATTTTATCCTTTAACAGCTCGATCGCCTGGTGGTAATTAAGAATTGAGCATTAAGAATTTGAGGAAAGTTTAGTATCACAATCAAAATAAACTTTAAGAGAAGACTGTTAATGATGTCATAAAATCCTATTAAGATTATTCTAATCAACTCTATGACCATATTAAACATAAAATTGAATCTGGAATCATGGACAAAAAACCTGTGTCAAATGCATCTACATCTGCTTTCAGTTTACCGTCTAGCAATATTCTGAAAAAATGATGTGCTTAAATTTAATTTCATAATTTCTTCTATTTACTTCAGATTACGAGTGATGGGGTTTTGGGGTTTTGGGGTTTTGGGGTTTAATATGGTC